TATATCTAGACCATCCCTGACAGGTGTTTGTCTTAAAATCCCCAATGATGGAGATTCCACAACCTCCTTAGGCAATTTATTCCAGTGCTTAACTACCCTGATAGTTAGGAAGTTTTTCCTAATGTTAAACCTAAACTGCCCACTGCTTCTTGTCCTATCCTCAGAGGTTAACGAGAATAATTTATCTCCCTTCTCCTTGTGACAAAATTTAATATACTTGAAAAATGTTATGTCCTCTCGGTCTTCTCTTCTCCAGACTAAACAAACCCAATTTTTTCCTATCTTCCCTCATAGGTCATGTTTTCTAGACCTATGATCATTTTTGTTGCTCTCCTCTGGACTTTCTCTAATTTTCCACGTCTTTCCTGAAATGTGGAGCCCAGAACTGGACACAATACTCCAGGTGAGGCCTAATCAGCATGGAATCGAGCGGAAGAATTATTTCTCATGTCTTGCTTACAACACTCCTGCTAATACATCCCAGGACGACGTTTGCTTTTCTTGCGACAGCGTTACACTGTTGATTCAGATTTAGCTTGTGGTCCACTATGACCCCCAGATCCCTTTCTGCAGTACTCCTTCCTAGGCAGTCATTTCTCATTTTGTATGTATGCAACTAATTGTTCCTTCCTAAGTGGAGTACTTTGCATTTGTCCTTATTGAATTTCATCCTATTTTCTGCAGATGATTTCTCCAGTTTATACAGATCATTTTGAATTATAATCCTATACTCCAAAGCACTTGCAACCCCTCCCAGCTTTGTATCAGCCGCAAACTTTTAAGTGTATTCTCTATGCCATTATCTAAATCACAGATGAAGATATAGAACAGAACTGGACCCAAAACTGATTCCTGCAGGAACCCACTCGATATTCCTTTACAGCTTGACTGTGAACCACTGATAACTACTCTCTGGGAACGTTTTTCCAACCAGTTATGCACCCACCTTATACTAGCTCCATCTAGGTTGTATTTCCCTGGTTTGTTTATGAGCAGGTCGTGCGAGACAGTATCAAAAGCTTTACATTAAGTCAAGATACTATATCTATCGCTCCCCTACCCCCATCCACCAGGCTTGTTACCCTGTCAGTTTGTAATCTGGACAGGCTTGATACTGGGTCAGTGAGACAGAGCTGGAGCCCCACTAAATTTTGGCAGGCTGGGTTTGGGATTATTATTATAATTTTTTTTTTTAAAAGGACTAACATCAGAGAACAGCAACATTAACATTTTCACATTACAGAGAAGAATGTCTCCATTAAGTAGATTAATGTAAGTTCCTTGTAACGGCTGTCCAAACTTAAACTACCTGTCCTTCCTCTTCCCCTACTCCCACCCCAGTACCATCATCTTTTTAAAAGGAATACACCAGAGAGTTTTCAGGTAGGAGGAAGACACAGTGTACTCTGGAAACTGTTCTCCGGGAATTCCATTGCTAGTGGTGTTTTCCTTTCAGGTGTCTCTCCCAGCTCTAGCAAGAGCTAGCAGGACACAAGAGATATTAAAACATAAACAAGTCTGCTCCTGTAAGATTAATAACTAGCTTTGTGGTAAGAGTACCTGAGAATTTCCAAGTAAACAGAGAATGAGAGAGAGCCTAATCAAAATTGTTTTGGTTCATAAGACATACCTTAGACACACCATTTTCATCTGAGCGGGGATATCATGCAAACTGGGAGTCTTGGAAATCCATTAATATGATTTTTGAAAGAGGTCTCATAGGCCTGAATGTAATTAATAGATCGAAACCTTACTTTCCTGTCCCTCTCACCAGACTTTATGCAAATCCTTGATGTTTTAATGTTTCTATCTTATTCCTCCCAGACGACAAACTAAAATGGGACAGAAACAGCATATACAGCAAGACTGAATCCAGTGATAACAGAAACTGAAACTCACGAGAATCAGCTACATAAAAGGTAATTATCTGTTGATGCAGCTTAACAGGTGACCTGCAAAGGATATTTTAAAAATTGGGGTTTTGCCCTTTTTCCATCTTTATGACACATGAAGGTGACTGAAGGGGATTTCCCCCTCCCCCCACTGCTTGGTTCACTTGTAGAAATATCAAGCTTGTCCAGTTTGATCTTCCCTGGTTCTGCTAGAAACTTCTATAGGTGTCTCAGATATTTATTTTGTCAGATCTTACATTTTGATTGAAATGACACTGATTCTTTAACAGAAAAGTTTTCATCCAAAATGCTCTACACTCACTGAAGTTAAATGTGTTAAGGGGGGAGGGGAGGCAGGGAAAGAGGTTTAAACCATTCTGGCTAAAAATCCCTTCCCTTATTAGTTCATCTTTCAGTCTCCCTTGATTCCTGCAAAGTCATGTCACTATCTCGCCAATCATTAGTCTTCCAAGATAGATAATACATGAATATCTAACCTAAAAACCAGGCAAAAAAAACTTTTCACAAAAGTCCTCCAAGGCCTTATTTATACAACAAAGAAGCACTCTTCCCCCCCCCCCTTTACAAATCGCCATCCTGTTCAGCTATCCTTATGCCCAACATCCTTAAATCCAATTATTCCTTCATCAGTGAATTCCAATTGTGAGTTCTTATGCTACAGTAAGAGAAAGGATGGCCTTCTTCCTAAGGCACAGAACTAGCAGAATGGGCATTAAGACACCTGAGTTCTAGTTTCAGCTCTAGTACTGTATGACCTTGGGCAACAGTTATCCCAAATGACCTCTCTGTGCCCCAATTTCTTCCATATGTAAGTTATAAAAATGTAAATAGCTCCATAGACTACATGTAGCACTTTACATCCATGGATAGTCCACACCGTGGGTCCCAAAAAGCTTACAATCTATATAGGTCAAAAAAGACAAAGAAGAGTTCTGGAGACAGAGAATGTGAGGACTACTGATGACAAGAAGCTATTTAAAGAAGTGGTTTTAAAGGAGGGGGTAAGTTTTTGCCAGTCAAAGACAAGAATACTTCCAGAAGTATTTTATTTATCGTTTGTATTGCATTAGTACCTAGATGCCTCAGTCCCACTGTACAAAGTACATAGGCACTGTACAAAGATGAATCAAAATGACAAAAAGAGAAAGAGAGCAGTAAGACAAAAGATTTGAGAGGAGCAAAGGAAATAGATGTAGGTAATTATGGAAGGTCTTGCAGATTATGAGGATCTTGAACTTGATGTGGTAAGATGCAGAACGCCAATGGAAAGATTCCAGGAAGTTTGGTTTTTTCCCAGTGGGGGAAGGGGTCAGAGCAGAGAGAAAGGAAGATAACTTTAGTACCACCAATTTTAACAGACCTGGAGGGTAGCAAAAGAGTTCAGAGGCAGGGAGACCAGTCAGGACTAGATTTCAGTTATAAAAGAAAACAAATGACTAGTATATTGATAGGGATTTAACCACTAGAATCAATAATAAAGATTCATTTGGGAGATATTAACAAGGAAAATGTGTCAGCAGTGGGTGCAGGAGAAAAGAATCAAATGCAGCACAGATTACAGGCCTGGGAGACATGAAGGATGGTGATGTTGTCCATGAACAGAAGGGAGACGGAGGAAAGAAAAGTTTTGTTTTGAAAAGAACAAGTCTGAGATAGCATGGAGACAACCCAGAGGAATGAGAGGCAGCCAGGAATGCAAGACTAGATAGAGAAAAGGGATTTGGGGACTGCCATTATGGAGGAGGTAGCTGAAGTGTTTTAAGATCCCTGGATAGAAGGCCTTTTAGAACTGTAAAGAATATTAACTGCATCTCATCACCTCTTTCAGAGGCTCTTGCTTCAGTCCCTGACTCTTCAAAAAGGGATACATGTCTCCTTTTAGTATATTATCTAGGCTTTTTTGCTGACACTGGTCTTCTAAATTACAAGACGACTGGACTTTTAAATGCAAAGAATTCAGTTTATTTAATGCTCATGTACCAGTATTTTCCACTCCAAAATACTGTATTGTGCATTTCTGTACTTTTGGGATTCCACAATACTTTCATTCTGTGAAAAACCCATTGACTATCTCTTCTCCTAACCCCCCAAACTGCTTGGTTCCAAAAACATTTTAACTTTACAAGCCACCATAAAAAGCTCTGCAGACTACTGGTCCAATGATCACAATTTGAGAACCGCTGCTATATCGCCTTTCACAGCATAGAAATCCCAAGCACTTTACAGACTATATATACAGATTTTACTTTACATGTAGCACCCACTTAACACTGCACAGTATAACTAGGGCTTAGCCCTGTATTGATTTGAAACTGCAGAAGAACGTAGGCAGGAAGAATGTAATAGCCCAAATTAGAATTTGGCCTCGATACCACCATTAGCATATTTGGGCTTGCATAAAGTCCTATGTGATATTTAACAACCACAATGAAGGACTTTGGATTTCTCATCTGAATAACTTAACTCTCTTTCCCTCTACAGCTAATGTCACTCTGCCATGCAATCTTCCCCACTTCACCAATTTGCTCACCCAGCAATAGCCTCTTGGCCCAACCATCTAGTCCACATCCCCTCAACACATCCCTTTTTCTCCCCATGACTATCTTCTATCACCTTTCCCAGACATATGTCTTTCCTCCTCCCTCCTGCACCAGTATATCCTTTACTCCCCCACATCTCAGAGTCTTCTGAGATTAGCCCTGCTTCCTCCATCTATTCCACTCTTCCCTCGTTTTCTGCTCAGCCTCCTTTCCTTTGCACTTACCTCCTCCCAATAAACTCCCCTTTACCCGATGTACTCCCCAACTATGCCACTCCTTCCCCCTCAATGTCCTTCCCCAAGATCACTGCTTTGCTTGGCTTGCCCATACCGCCCCCTTCCTGCTAGGCATCCCTTGCTCATGCTCTCACCCCCCAACACCTTTCCCCCCTTCCCTCCGCTCGCCCTGTCAGACGCACACAGCCAACCCTGGCTCTGCCCCTCCCCTTCAACTCGCCTTTCGCCCCCGGTCCGTCCCCCCGTTACACCCCCGCCCGGGCCGAGCTGCCGGGTCTGACCCTCACCTCACCCCTTCCCCTCCCCCTCACCGGAGATACTGCGCACACAGCAGGCTCATCCTCCGCCGCTCGCTGCCCGTCCCCGCCGCCCCCTCTCCGGGTCTCACAGCCGGGGCCGCTCCGCCGCCCAGGAGCCGCCGCCGCCTCCGGCCGCCGCCATCTTCCTGTGCTGGGCCCAGGCTCCTCCTGCCCGCCGGGTGTCCCCGCGCTGAGTCTCCGGCCCGGGAGTGGGCGTAGAGTAGGGGCTGTTCTCGCGAGACCCGCTCCGGCCCCGCGCAGCTCTCGGCTGCCTGCCTCAGGCGACCAGGCTCGTGAAGGAGCCGCCGCCGCCGCCTCCGCGCGCCGGGGCAGGCAGCAGCAGCCTCCGGGCTTCACAGTCAATGCTGTCCGCCTCCCCCACACTTCCGGCCCCGGGCCTGGCCCCGCCTCCCCAGCCACACTTCCTGCCGGCGCTACAGCCAAAGCCTTCCCCGCGCGCTCGCCGCCAACCCGTTGGCTGGGCCGCTGCTATAGCAACGGGAGGTTGCTGTACTATCACCATAACAACCGCCGAGCGTGCCGCTCTTCCGGATTGGAATAGAGCCAATGAAACTGGCCCCGCCCCATGTTCTTCCTGACACCGCCCGCTCCCACTTGGCTGCCTGCCCTACACCGCGACCACTCCCCCACTCCTCTCCAATGCCCCCCTCCCTCACCCCTCAATCTCCTCCCCTCTCCCCCTCCCCCCACACCGCCAGCTTCTCCGTGTGAATACACTGTGCTCTGCCAGATTCACCAGCTGGGGGCCGGGCTGGCTGGGCCCTCATGAGTCAGGGCCCTGAGGACAGTCGCTTGGGGGAAATCACACAGATCCTCCCCGTGCTTCGTGCCGATCAGCACCTGGAGTGAAGATGAAACCAAACTCCGCTCTCCCCTCCCCTGGAAGAGCTCAGCACGGCCCAGCGCATGTGGGAGGGGGCTACGTCTGCACCTGCCTCTGCAGCACTCTCAGAGATGGTACCAAACTAGAGGCATTGCTGTTCCCAGATTCGTGCAGTTGTTACAGCAACGTGCAAATGCCCTGCTGTGCTACCCTGCGCTCACCACTGTGGCTGTATCGGGGAAAGTCCGAGGGTTCCTTCCCAATGCGGGGGGAGAGCAAGATAAAATACAGTCAATCCATTTTCCTTGACGTCAGGAGGCAATTTTGCTGTGTCACAGATTTAATCATGTAGGATTCCAGGAAGCTCCTATAGCCCCAAGCTGTGACAGTTAAAATGAGAGTGATTCCAAACCGTTCGGAGTGAGATGCTCACTGCTTCATTTCAAAGTCTTTCATCACAAGAGGGAGCTAAAAAAAATACATTGATGCATTACTCCAAACAATAAGGAAGGTTGCCCGCCACCTGTCAGTAACGTTAAAACAAAACAAAACACACACACACACACACACACACACACACACACCAAACCACCTAAGGCCATGCTGCAGCCCCTGCTTCCTTCCAAGATACTCCCTGTAAGGGGGAGTAATCATGTCCCTTCTTTCCCAAGTGCTCTAGAAAGGACCTCTCGTTGCCTTTTTGAGGACTAGAGCTATACCAGTTCCTTAATTCAGCTGTTTGCTTGGTTCTTCCTGCTGTCATTTTTCTACCCACCACCCCATTATTAGAAGGGTGGGCTTGTTCTACCCCCTGCCCTGCCCACCGGCCCCGTAGTGCTATCTTTGTCTCCTCCCTGGGAAGATGAGTTAGTTCCCAGCTCTCTCACACATACCCACGCTTTGCTGCTGGCTCTCTCTTCCTTTCCTTGCCAGCTGGGAGAGTGAACTGTCTTTTCCTTCTCTGTGAGGAAGTACAGTGTAGTGCAGTTAGGGCCTGATTTTCATAGATTAGCATCCACAATAGGAGCCAGATTTCCAGGAGTTCAGCACCCAACTCCATGTTGCTCACTCTTTTGGTATTATCACACATATCTCATGATATCTGGTGCTTTTCTTAAAGCCTCAGCTTCTGGAGTTCAATGATTGTGTGAGAATCTCGGCTTTTTATTTTTAAGAATGTTTCTTTCCGCTCATAGTTGCAGAGAAAAGCATGAAAACATGAACCCAAAAGGCTCAAAAATCAGAACACATATAAAGAGACGCAAAATGTATTTTTTTTAAAAAAACCCTCATGATTTTAAAGAGAATATCATGATTGTTTGGGGCCCAATTTATGATTTTTGAGCACTTAGGGTGTTTGGTATGCTGAGCTCTTTGGAAAATCTGGCTACTTATTTGTGTGCCTGAATAGGAGCAGAACTGTTTTGAAAATCTGGCCCTTAGGGCCTGGCTCTGGACAGCAGGGGGCTTGGTTTCTAGTCCCGTACAAAAAAAAAGAAGGTTAAAATGGAGTTAAGATTAAAAGAACGTATTAGTAATTTAAGGTAAAAAACTGTGCAATCTTTGGCAGGTCACTTAATCTCCTGTCCCTCAATTTCTCAATCTGTAATTTGGGGATAAAAACACTACCTGCCATTGCCAGGCAGGTTTGTGTTTCTAAAGAACTTTGAGCTCCCTGGCCAGATGATGCCACAGAAATGCAAAAAAAAATTACGAGTGTTTCTGCATCCCACATATCTCCTGAGGGTGGTGTTCTGTCCCCTCTAGTGGCACTGAGCCCACTTAGAGATTAAAGAGCCTACTTTACAGGTTTAGCTAAGGACCAGTTGGCTTTTGGCTCATGCACTGAGGTCCCAGGTTCAATTCTGCCTGCTGACGACCAGGGTCTGTTGGCATTACATTTCCTCCATTACCTCCATTGCTACTGTGGACCCATCTTCTTCTTCTTCTATGGGATCCTGAAATGGGCAGCCTCTCCACTGTTTTTCCTTCCATCCTGGCTGCTGGGCAGGATTTAGTTCCTCCTAGCTTCTGCTATGGGATGGGGTAGGAGGGCAGCTCAACTTTGCCCTTCCCTACTAGCTGGTACACTTATATCACGCATTCCTTGGCATAAGCAGGGCACCAGTGAGAATATGTGTGGGAGAGGGAAGCTTCTCCAACCAGACTGCCAGATGTGCAAATGAAGAGAGTACTTGGGTCACCAAAGCTTCATCCCACCAAAAACAGACTGTGCATGATGTGGTAAATGAGTGGCTTTGTGCTAAGAGCTCTGAGGAGATTTAAGCCCATTGGAGAATCAGAATATCCATCCCCATATTTATTGCAGTCCTGGCTTGGACGCATCATAGGTTCTCTCCAACTCTCCTTTTACGGGAAACTTTCACACACACACCCTCCCCCATTCCCCTAACTCTCCCACAAACACACGGGTCAGTTCTGCATACATTCCCTATCCAAACCACCAGAGTAATTTGGGGCAGGTGACAGTTGGGGAGCAGAAAGTCTTCCTTTGAATCTTAAGTATCAGAGGGGTAGCTGCGTTAGTCTGGATCTGTAAAAAGTGACAAAGAGTCCTGTGGCACCTTATAGACTAACAGACGTATTGGAGCATAAGCTTTTGTGGGTGAATACCCACTTCGTCAGATGCATGTAGTGGAAGTTTCCAGAGGCAGGTATAAATATGCAGGCAAGAATCAGTCTAGAGATAACGAGGTTAGTTCAATCAGGGAGACTGAGGCCCTCTTCTAGCAGTTGCGGTGTGAACACCAAGAGAGGAGAAACTGCTTTTGTAGTTGGCTAGTCATTCATAGTCTTTCTTTAATCCTGAGCTGATGGTGTCAAATTTGCAAATGAACTGAAGCTCCGCAGTTTCTCTTTGAAGTCTGGTCCTGAAGTTTTTTTGCTGCAGGATGGCTACCTTTAAATCTGCTATTGTGTGTCCAGGGAGATTGAAGTGTTCTCCTACAGGTTTTTGTACATTGCCATTCCTAATATCTGACTTGTGTCCATTTATCCTTTTACGTAGGGACTGTCCAGTTTGGCTGATGTACATAGCAGAGGGGAATTGCTGGCACATGATGGCGTATATTACATTGGTGGATGTGCAGGTGAATGAACTGGTGATGTTGTGGCTGATCTGGTTAGGTCCTGTGATGGTGTCATTGGTGTAGATATGTGGGCAGAGTTGGCATCGAGGTTTGTTGCATGGATTGGTTCCTGAGTTAGAGTTACTATGGTGCGGTGTGTGGTTGCTGGTGAGAATATGCTTAAGGTTGGCGGGTCGTCTGTGGGTGAGGGTTGGCCTGCCTCCCAAGGCCTGTGGAAGCGAGGGATCATTGTCCAGGATGGGTTGTAGATCACTGATGATGCATTGGAGAGGTTTTAGCTGAGGACTGTAGGTGATGGCCAGTGTTGGTTTCTTTCTTGGGCTTGTCTTGCAGCAGGAGGCTTCTGGGTACACGTCTGGCTCTGTTGATTTGTTTCCTTATTTCCTTGTGCGGATATTGTAGTTTTGAGAATGCTTGGTGAAGATCTTGTAGGTGTTGGTCTCTGTCTGAGGGGTTGGAGCAAATGTGGTTGTATCTCAGCACTTGGCTGTAGATGATGGATCGTGGGGTGTGTCCGGGATGGAAGCTGGAGGCATGAAGGTAGGCATAGCGGTCGGTGGGTTTTCAGTATAGGGTGGTGTTAACGTGACTGTCACTTATTTGTACCATGGTGTCTAAGAAGTGGACCTCCCGTGTAGATTGGTCCAGGCTGAGGTTGATGGTGGGGTGGAAGCTGTTGAAATCATTGTGGAATTCTTCCAGAGTCTCCTTCCCATGTAATATACGCCATCATGTGCCAGCAATTCACCTCTGCTATGTACATCGGCCAAACTGGCCAGTCCCTATGTAAAAGGATAAATGGACACAAGTCAGATATTAGGAACGGCATTATAGAAAAACCTGTAGGAGAACACTTCAATCTCCCTGGACACACACAGGGCCGGCTTTAGGAAGTGTGGGGCCCGATTCGAACAGTTTCGACGGGTCCCCAACAGGGATGACTAAAAAAAAAAAATACGTAAAAAAAACACG